CCAGAAGGAGCACCTCCAAACATTGCTAGAGCTGGATTTGTTGGTGGCTTTCCTGGTGGCTGATTAGTGTTCATACCTGAAGGAGCACCTCCAAACATTGCTAGAGCTGGGTTTGTTGGTCGATTTGTTGGTGACTGATTAGTGTTCATACCTGATGGAAAACCATCGAGCGATGATGAAGGATTGTTTGATAAAGGTGTGGCTGATTGATTTGGATTTCTACCAGGAGGAACACCACCGAACATTTGTGGAGGACGATTTGGTGGTGTAGGTATAGGGTTTATTACTGAAGCCCTTGGAATTGACTGAATAGTTGGAAAATTTGATTGTGATCGAGGACGTGAACCGAGACGTGAACCGAGACTACTATTGATGCTTGATAAAGAATTCCTAATATTATTAGGGCTTTTATTAGTGCGAGAAACAAGTGGAAAACCAGCCGATGAGCCTCGAAACTGAGCATTAGAAGGGCTCATTATATTAGGCGAAAAACTTGAGTTACTTGAATATGTATCTCCGCTGCGAGTAGTATTTTTTTGCTAGAAAAGATGTGACAATAAGAAAAGTTATTACTTTAAATGGATGTTATTTTTACCTGTTTTTTCGCTTGAGTTTGTTGTGGTACATTATAATTTCTTATACTATCAGTATTTTCATCATCATCTTCGTCCTTGAAAGATTATAATCATATATCGATTAAGTCACATACTTTGGCTTACTGTTTGAAATGGTGGTTTAGTAATAGTACCTGATGGAGGTTGATTTCTTGGAGTACTTGGAAATGAACCAGGAGGTAAAGCATTAGGACTAAGAAAATTGTTGCATTTTTTTCCATACATGATGTGATAGATAAAAAAAACCTTGAATTATTACTCACTGTTTATCCTTTTTGAATGCATTTTTCATACGCTGAAAGACTGTACTCATCTTTGATATTAAGTAGTAATAGAAAAGAGGATATATATACAATTTTGTCTTGTGTGAGAAGAGTTGTTTATAATAGTATCCTAAATATAAAACAGAAATTAATACCAAACACTTTTCGAACATATTCACAACACTGAAATACGAAATAACACATGTGTCTAAGCAGAAGGACAACGATGATGAAAAGGAAAGAAAGAGAAAATATACGTGTTTGTGTTACTATCTATAATGAAGAACCACTCGTCCGTATCCAACCTGAATGACAATGAGTATGCTAACGATAAAGACATGATATGTAAATATTTATTTATTTTGAAGCACTTCGAAGTAATAATAATAACACCTAAGTTACTAATTCAAATTCTTATTTATGATGGAACGATAAATTTTCATTGATTTTGAACTTTTATATGTATTTATTAATAATAAAAAAAAACATCAAGACTAGACAAGTTTCACATGATCATGATTTGTATCACAAAACCGTTTGTGTAAATTTTCGCCGTACACGTGCTACAATTAAACCGGTACAGCCAGCTACTGTAGCTATAAGACCAAGTGTAAGCAATGTTCGACATGAAAATAAATCATCAAAACTATTTAATTGTGAAAGGAATGAACCAGTTTGTACACTTATAAAAGTATATGGTGCCATGCCTAAATAGAGAAAAAAAAACATGATTTTCTATAAATAACATTGTTTTTTTTTTGTTTTTTCCTTATACTAACCAAAGAGGATCGAAAAGAAAAATATTTTTTTTGGTACATTTAATAATGGACATGTTATTGTTATGAGTGCATTTGGACTCATTGGTACCATGCGCATAAAAAGTAAAACAAAAAAGAGATTATCACGACCAGCTTCAACCTTTTGATAATGAAAAATAAACAAGAAAAAAATTTTTGAAATGTTTTTTTTTGGTATATTAAATAATTTTTTACTTTTTTTTGTAGTACAAGTATTTTTTTATGGCAACATTGCACAACTAAATTACGAGCAAAATTAGAAACAAGTAAGTAACAGAAACAAGCACCAATTGCTGTTAATAAACAACAAAGTGGAAAGCCTATCCATATACCGAATAAGGCACCACCAAGTAAATTCTATAGTATATAGAAAAAAAACGATAGATATTCATTAAAAAATAGATGTAATTAAATAAATATACCAGAATAGCTGAACCTGGTAATGAAAAAGATTGCTTGTATAAATAAGCAGAACCATACAGTAATAAAAGATACGCTAAATGATCGTCACGATAATGTTGTAAGGTAGTTGATAAGTTCTTCAAGGCTTCGATACTTCGTGGAAAATGAAAAGAAGTTCTAAATAAAGAATACCAAAAATGAGAAGCTTTCATTAAATTTTATGGTGAATCTGAATTGTTTGATACTTCAATATTCTTCGTTAATTTATTAGAAAAAAAAACATCTCAACGGAGCTCTTTTTGAGCTAAAATGTGAAAGTTACTTGTGTTCTTTAGCTTTATTATACTAATATAAAATACATAAAGTGAAAAATCTTTAGCAGACAATGATTACTTTCTAAGGATAGTCAGTCTATCATCAATGAAAGGATCTGTGTTATTTATTTCTGCATTTTGAAAGGAATTTTTTTCTTTTTTTACTGGTGCTCTATTTTTTGGTCTTTTTTAATTATCCCTCAAAGTGATAACTTGATCAATTCACGCTTTTTATGTTGATCATATGGTAACTGTAACAAATCAATACATCACTACCCAACATCTGTGACATCTCGAATATAAATGTTTATCTGTGCAAAAATAACAAGCAGAGCCTACAATATTTCAAATATTCAAAAGTGTATTCCAATCAGTCAAATTTCAAGAAAGGATTTGAATTGTTCTGAAAGAATCTAAGGCTTCTTGTTAATGCCGTTCAGCGCTTTTCTCCATTATGATGGAACTCCATGACAGAAATCTGAATTCTGTTGTCCTTAGTTGCTAAGAAAACGTACTTAATGATCCCTGACCTTTATCCTAATTACTTGAGTCCAAGGAGACAGAAAGAGCAAAAACCTTGATTTAGATATACAGTCATTAGTTCCTTCGAAAATATAAATTAGTATCCAATCTGAGATTCGAGTTTGAACTTATCCAAACTTGGATGAAAAAAAAAAGTTGAGATCAAAATTCATATTTGATTTTGGAATTGTTGTTGGATTCAGAACTTTTTATTTATGAGGTAGAAGAAATTTATAGAATTTCCTATTTTAATACTTAGTTCAAAAGCCAGAGTTAGATCGAACAAGTTTTAAGACGTTTAATCTGTAAATAGAAACTGAACAGAAGTTTTATATTAAAACTATTCAAATCATCATCGCGTTGTATTTCATCAAAAAGAAAATCCAAAATACAACATCAATTCCAAGATGGAAATTAAGTCTTGATTTCAGGCGTTTGCTCGATCTACGTTTGGACTAGTTCAAATTCGAATCTTAAATTTGATGCTGGCATATAAGTGAATTTCACAAAAATAATTTAAAATGATAGTATATTACAAACTGTATGCCACAATATTCTTATTCATCATGTTTACATTCGTAAATAACTCTCCATATTCTTCAAGTCGTTTTCTATGCATATAAACATATTCGAAAACTCTTTTAAAACCATAGATCACTATTTGGGAGATGCTGTAGTGGACTAGCACCCACTTTGCCATTGCGTCTGTAAAAGCTGTCTAGGAAATTTGAGAAGGTAGCTTGTCTCAATTACTTTCTACTAGATGGACTGCCTCCGATTATCTGTTAATTTCTTTGTCTTTGCCACTTCTAAAAACTATCGAGAGTTTTGATTAGAACAGAAAACTGATACCATTTGCCAATATACAACTTATTTGAAATTTTTAGTTTCTAACAATAAGAAACTAGGAAATGGGAAATCAGAATAGTTCCCATTCGGATAGAAATTACAGAAATATGAAAATTTCGCATGCGTCAGTTCTCAAGACTTCTAGATGAATTAGTAACAAAATAAAAATATGAGTCAATACAAATATAGTTTACCTATCACTTTCTTTATCTAATGGTGGTGCATTTGTAGATAAAATATACATATAAAAAGTTGCTAATGCAAATATTAATGGAATGAACCAAACAGTAAAAGAACTCTCTAAAAAAAAAACTTCTAAATATATATATAAATATATATGTAAATTCATTCATACTCATAAAATGTAATGATGATTTTGTTGATGATGAAGGCATTGATGTTGATGATACTATAGATGATGAATCAATACCAATCGATGTTTGTCGTGGAATTAATTCCATTTCAAGTTCAGAATCATGTTGTTGTCTCATGATTTATAAATATATTAAAGTAAAATTCAAAGCTAATAAATAATATTTTCACTTCTTCTTTTTTTTTTACATTGATGATACTAAAATATTTATATTTAAATATAAATAAGTAAAAAACAAGACGAAAAAGAATAAAACTCGATTAACAAATTTGTTTTTTGTTTCGTATACTTTCAGATATTTTTATTTTTGTATAAATGCCACATATCCTGTGTTCAGTTTGTATGTGTTTTTATATTGTTCTATTGCACACAGTCAGATAGTGTAAATATGAATGACTATCACTGTTTTTTACAAAACCAAGAAAAAAAAAGAGAGAATTAGATATATATATATATATTAGTGAAAACAAAGCATGCAAAAGAAAAAAGAAAAAACAACGGAAAATATCTGAACTTTGTTTTTCAAGAGATTCGTTCATAAACAATGACCAGACAAAAGAGAAATCTGACATAGTTTTTTTTTTGTTTGTAGAATATGTATATATATATATGTATGTATTTATTTTACAGGTCAATAATAGGAAGATTATCTTCTTGAGAATAGAAAGTAGACGATGGCAGAGTTGTGGCAGTTGATAGAAGTCCGTTTGACGGTGAATAATTAGCGACCGAATAGGAAGATGTAGATATTTGTTGTGGTTGCTGTTGTGCTTGTGGAGGCGGTTGTTGATAGAATGATGATGAAGTTTGATAAGAATAATTTTGAATACCATAGATATTTGAATGTTGTTGGGAATGATGATTATAACCAGACATGGTTATCTGTTGTACAGGTGAATAACACATTGGTTGATAGTATGAAGTCTAAATTAATAACAATTCAAAAAAAAAATATATACATAAAATTTAGATTCGTATTTTAAAGATTTGTTCAAATTTAATTTTTTTTTGTGTGTAAATTGACAACAAAAGAAAAAAAATCAAATTCTTGATTAATTCTATGATCATCGAAGATGCAATACTTGTCCGATTTATCAAATACTGTAAAGAAGGAAAAACAAAACTTGAAATTCTAAACATGTTTTTTATAATATTGAGCTGATACTTTAGGAGCATGCATATACAACAATAAATCTTGATCGCAAGCATCAGTCCATATTCCATTGGCTCACATGTACTACAGTTATCTTTCACCTATCTTCTTCGTTCTATGAAAAACATTTAGCGAACACATGTACACAAAATGTTTTTGTTTGCTATTTTACTATTTTACAGTTACAAGTATTTTTTTTCTAGTGCTAATTAGTATGTCCTAAAACACGGAACACATATAATAGTGCTAACTTGATTTCATTCAGGGCTATGACTGTAAAACGTTGAGCAAAACCTTATAGTCTTATGAGAATTTTTTTCAAATGCATTGGTTTAAGTCATCATGCACAAGATTCATCTTAAAGATGAAAACAGACTAAACATATCAACCATATGTACCTTTTGAATAAACGTTTGGATAAAAAAAAGTCGCGACACCCTGGTTGAAATTCGGTAAGCACAAGAAGGCAAGTATGTCTGAATCATATTTCAGTAAGTTACATGTAAATCGATAGAGGGCAGGTTGATGCTTGCAATCAGGATTTATTGTTATATGCAAGCACTCAAAATATTGACATAATATAATAGTACTTCATGGACGACAGCTACTTTTGTCCATGACTGTTAATGTGGGTGCATGGAATGAGTTGATAATAAAGATATAAGACAAAGAGTAACTGATTATTTAAACATATAGATATTCTTCTATCAACAATCATGATTTTGAATATCAATAAATAGGATTTTTATCTGAGCTTACAGAATTAAATAATCAAAACGCATTGAATATGATTAAAATCTTTATCGAATTTATTCTACTTACAGAATTTATATTTGTATCATTGTCTGATGAAATTTGTGTTTGTTGATAATATTGTCTTGTTGAATTATTATTATTATTATATGGATAATTTGGATATGATGATGTTAACTGTTGTTGCTGTTGTTGTTGTTGTTGATTATACATAATTCTTTGCTGATGTTGAACAGCCATTTGTTTTAATGTTTGTGCCGCAGCAACTGGTGGTGTTGGTCGATTTGTAACAGGCATTGAATGTGGACTATAATGTATAGTACTTGAACCGCGTGTTATTGAATTTCTACGTCGATCTGTTGATATTGTTGAAGATGTTTGTGTTGGTAATGATAATGATGAATGTCGTTTTGAAATATTATCTTGTTCTTGTGATGATAACGTTGATGATGACGATGGTAAATCATCGAATGATGATAAAAATAAATAATCATCAGTTTTTTGTTTTATAGTATTAAGAAATTCATCAAATAGATCACGATCAGCTGGTGTTATATCTTGTACAACACGTTGAAAATCAGCTTCACTCAATAAATCATTATTTGAAATTTTCATTTGTTGTTTTGGTGTTGATTTTATATTTATTGTTGAACTAACTGTTATATCACTTGTTGTTAATTGTTGTATATTAAATTCTTGAATTATTTTTGTTGTTTGTTGATAATTTGTTAATGTATTATTATTAGTATTAGAATTAGAATTAGAATTTACTGTTAATGTTGGTGAATGACAACGAAATGATTTTGTTGATTGTTCATGTTCAATATCAAATGAATAAAAATGTTCACCATCATCAACATTACCAAGTTTTCGTTTTGGATTTGATGAAGTCTATAGACATAAAAAAAGAAATTAAAAACAAAAAGTAATATACATAAAAATAAGAAGAAACAATCGAATTTGTAATCACCTGTTCTATGGATTCCATTTTAGATGTCATGTCAAAAATAAAAAATAAAAAAACTAGATGAATAATATTATATAGTATTATTAACTCTTGTTTCTTTTTTGTTTTTATTTCCTTATTTCCATTTCGAGGGTATGAGTACGTGCCAAAACTAATAAAACTGAACTCACCAACGGCCTGGCCGTTGATGCAAGGTCACTTAGCCCATACGCTTCATTCATTTATTTATTCAAAAATAGATATTATATAAATAAAATATAATTTTTGCCAACATATGGACACGATTAGCCGATCAACGTTATCATTTTATAAAAGTGACAAATGTAGTAGTGATTATCTCGATGAATGTATACGTGTGTTCTGTTCTTGAGATGATGCCCAATAATCAACAATAGCCAGAATAGTGTGCCCGATCGATGTGTATGTGCAAGAGTTCTTTGCTCGTTCGTATTACCTTTTCTTTTTTCCCCTCTTCTTTTCTCTGTCGTTCTTTGCCCGTTCATTTTTACTCGTCGTTCGTTGTTCATGTCAAAATGGCCTTGGAGCTGCTCAAATATATACATACGCAAAGAAAGAGAGAAAAAGTACAAGCAGTCTCCTCTCTTTCTTTCCCATTCCTTTTCGCGTAACAGTTCAGTCGTATATGTGTATACTTGCGCACGATCAATGAATGGATATAACATCACATACAAATACATGCACATACACACATACATCATCAAGAGAAAAGAAGCAAAGTTGAGGCCAGAACAAAAAACTTGCTCTAATTTCTTTTTCTCTTTCCCTCCTCTTTTTTTTTGTTGTTCTATATATCAAGAATAATGACCACAATTTTTCATTGTCTCTTCCCTAACTTCTCTTTCGGACAGATTAATAGAACAAAAGAAGAAAAATAGAAAAAAAAAAGAATGACCTAGTTCAACTAAGAGAGAATAGAATTCAGTCAGTACTTTTTGTATACATTGAAAACTAATATTGTCGTCTGGAATATATCATTTCTAAATTTATACACAAAGTCTTCATGCAAATATTAGATGAATTGATTTTTTGTTTTGTACATGATTATGTGAAATATAAATATAGAGTGAGAAAAAAAAATATTGTTAAGTCTGTTAAGATGATTATCTTGATGTTTTAATTAAAAATCAAATCAGATTTGAACATTAATACTTCATATAAGAATAGAATTCTTCTTAACAGAGATAAACTTTTAAAAAAAGTCTATATAAGAAAATAGGATAAAAACTCAGAAAGCTAGCCTTTCGTCAAGCGCTAACTTGTATAACACAGTATCCTTAATTCTTACATGATTGAAATTAATAATGAGACATCATTTTAGTTCTAGTGGGTATTAGAACACATGCGAAGGAATTGAATTATTAGTTCTTTCTTTTTCTTTCAAAATAACATTAAGCAGAATCGACATGGATAGGAAAAAAAATCAAATGAACTATGAATACCTTACAAATAGTTTAGGTCCTTAGATTATTACTAATGAGAGATTCCATTTTCATATTAGTTTTTAACTTAATGTCATGATAGCAGAAAGGCTGATTTTCGATTTTTCATTTGAAACCTTGCACAGAGACAGCTCTTAGTGAGAACAGTTTCTTGTGAATGCTTTAATTCTTATCATTGTGTCTATCCTAAGACATAGCTATGGTAACAGTGTTTCATTTATGTCTCTCACATATTATGGTACATTCGATGTTCTTGTTTCAGGATAAAAGTAAATCAAAAGATCTGCAGCTTTGACAATAAACTATTCTCATGAAGGTCTAACTCTGTACAAAATTTCAAGTCAAAATTCGAAAATCAGTTGCCTTGGTGTTCTTGCAAAAGATTATGGCATTCATTCAAAAATGACGGTCAATTGGCAGTAATCTACGCAATAACAAGCTAAGAGCCAGAATTCTTTTCAGTATATTTGAAAAATCATTTGGATCTAGATATTACAAATCGTACCAACAGAATAGAGCGTATGATCGGTTGAGAAACTTCTCTGATTAGTAAAAGTTAAATATCTAAAAAGACTGTAGGTTATTTAGATTTTTTTAAAATAATAATTAACCTCTAATAAATCACATTGAAGTCGTACATAATAAACCTCTACCATTCAGAAATATTTATATTTCGGGAAAGAGAATAGTTGCATTGAATCATCAACTAAATTCAAGAATAGATATATGTTTTAAGGCTTCCACTCCTTCAAGAAAGTGCATTTTCGTCAGATTATCCGAAATTA